AGAATTGACTGTGCTGCCTTGACGCCGGCTTGGTGTTTCTGCAGGTACTCGACAGAAGAAAGCTTGTCGTCGTGCTCCATCGCCGCAGGCTTCGAGAGGCGCGTACCTGTAGCGAGAACAACATAGTCAAACGGAATTTGTTTCGAGCCCTGCCACTCACGGTCAAGCTCTACGTGAGTTGGCTTGACAGATAGCACTCGAGCTTGGACAACGCCATGAGAAGTCGGGTTTGGTGCACTTTTGAAAATCCCACTGTATGGAATAAAGGCTTTATGTTCTTGTCCTGGAACAATGGCGAATCGGGGCTACAGAGGAAGTCAGAAGCGAATAACGCACGCCCTCACGACTCACTTACAAATGTGAAGAGATGGTGGAAATGGCTATGACTTTCGGTAAGAAGCACCTGCGTACACAATAAGCATTCCATCAACCGCAGCCGCTAGCTTTACCACAGCTTACTCGATGAGTTGAAGGGATGATACGGGCCAGTTCCTGGGCTGTCGTCTATTATCGCATTGGTTAGTGGATATTCTCATAACTTGAAGAATCGACTCACCCGCCCAACGAACGATCCGCCCACAACAATGATGTTCTTTACTGGAGTCATTTCTACTTGATGTACAGCGTAGTGAAGGGAGATCCGAGGAGATCAGGGGTCTTTATAGGGAAATACCCCGGTATATCTAATCAGATTAACTCCGAGGAGAGTTGCCACTTTGGGGGAAATGCCGATGGTCCGGAGTAGTTTACATCCGGGGACCGCCACATCGGAAGTTGCAATTGACATGCGTTGAAGGGACCTGACCAGATTCGAGGGTCAATCTGCATCAAGTTTGACATATTGCAGATATGTGCTCTAGGAGACTAGGAGAACTCACGGGAGGATGGCGAGATGCCCAAGATCAGTTAGTATTCACCATGATGAGGTGGTCATGAAAAACTTGCGTGGACCCGACTAATTATGTTGCTCAACAAATAATATAAAAGGGATTTCTCACCCATCCCCAGAGTTCCTCCCTCTTTTATTCCATCATTTTCTGGTCGAAGCTTGCTTTGACTGCCGGTCTCAACCTCTTCTTTCTTAGACCTTGGCGTTCGGCATCCCGCTTCTGCCGCCGGACACCGCTTACCTTGCTTGTATCATCCCTTGTTTTTCCCCACTGCTCACCCGCACCTACGTGTGTTCGCTCGTTTAGACACTAAAATATTTGTGTATTCCTCCATCGACGATGTGTCCTACACCCCTTCGGTAGCCGGTGTGGATGATCGTTCACCACCAGCTTCGCACCCACCGAGGCGTCAGATCGGACCACTTGACAGCGCAATACTCGTGTGTTGTCCATACTGTGTATTACTTATTTAACACGGATTTTTGGCTCAAAATCCTAACTAATACTTCCTTTACCAAGTGAGGTTCAAGAATTTCAAAGTCAGCACAAATTTATTGCATCGGATATTAACAAACGGCGGGAATCAGGAGGATAATTCTATCGTTGCTGTCATTTGTACTGAGGAAATCTTTTTACTACTTTCTTGATTCTATTCTTCTGCGACTGCTTGCATAATGTATCATGGTACAGTTAAGCAATTTATGGTGTTTGTGTTTGAGGTTGCTAGTGATAGAGCCCTGTAGCTGCTGAGCAGAACATATTGTTTGAAAATGAAGGGTGGTGAGACAATTTCGCGGACCGATACTAGCATTGGTTAATGTATGGAGGGATGTGATGAATAAAGCTATTTCAAACAACCGTACGTCTGATACGTAATCTACGCCCGGCGACTACCTTTCTTTGAGGGTGAGCCTAGCCCGACAGATCCGCTAACCGTTCCCAGTCATTGGTCATTCGTTCCAATGTAAACCTTTTTAACTATTTTAAGTTAATTTTTTTTGGCATTTTAACCTGCATGTTTCAAAATATCGAATAGTTGGCACAGCACCAAATCCCAGGTTTAGTTCAATTAGCTAGATCGTTGTTCTAGACCTCATCGAACTATTTAGTGTGGCAACAAGTTTGAGTTTGACGGCTCGTTTTAACACGAAGATGTCTAGCCCTTTACATCCAATCCGTAGGCGTAGGAAGTCCTGAGAACTGAGTGGGGCGAATTTATCCATTGAAGATTGAAACACTCAAAGTGACCTATGGATACTATCGCCTAGGCGTGTTGTGTCGTACTGCAGATTGTACACTTCTCATTTAAAATTGCAGTCCAAATCCGGGGAACGCCACATGGCATGTCGATCATCCGAGACCACAACCTAAACACTTACAGAACCAAAATTTAGATTCTCGTTGACCCAAGGCGGATCATAAATCGGCCAGCTCCACCCTTCCTCGGTTTTCGCCGCCCTTTCGCCTCAGATCAGGTAACGGCTCCGCATGCGGACATGCAAAAAGTTGTCCTTGCCTACTGGTTATATTATTACCCAGTAGAAGGGTTGTCCTTTATATTTTTAGTTCAGAAATTACCTAGACCACCGACTAGTTCAAAGATCGCGTCCCGAGGACAGCGAAATAATTTACGTCATGATTAACAACTACAATCCTTAGAATTGGGAACTAGATCTTCACATGAGTCTGAGTGGCTCTCAAATAAATGTCACCTAATTGGCGCGGTTGAGTTCTCTGTGACCGAATATAAGTATGTGGATTGTTGACACGGAAATGTGAGCGAAAGGGAATTATATTTCTCTCCGACAAAGAGACTTTTGGTCACACTTTCAATTTATATTGCTATAACGTGCAGCAATACAATACGAGTCATTATGCCTCTCAAATCCAACGGTGAGAGCGGTGAAATTACCGCTCAACAGACAATCCAAGGCTGGCTCAAAGATATCGGGAGTCAGCTCGGCCGCATCCCTGAGGATCTCAGCGTCCTGAACGGCCTCGTAGGGGCTACGTTGACCGATGGGACGGTCAATGACCGAAAGTAAATGCTACAATTGAGCCCAGAATCCGACAATGAGTGTTACAAACGCTGACATTCTTGGATAGATACCTAGTGTGTGTCCTCGCCGTTCATGTCTCCGTCACTGGCTGATCTTATTGCCATACAGCTAGAAAAGATTATCCAGCTCGCTTGCTCGTTGCCGCACGGATCCCCGGGCGAGAAGAAACTGACAGGAGAATTACTCGATATTCTCTGGACTAATCTAAAGCATCCGCCTCTTTCGTATATGGGTGATGACTGGAGGTATCGTACTGCCGATGGATCAAACAATGTAGGCCTATCTCCAGAAGCCCCCCATTTTGGTAGCTATGTATCTCACCACCATCTCCCTCTAGAACATTCTATACCCAGACTTGGGCAAGGCAGGATCGGCATATGCCCGAAGCGTTGTGCCGCAGCATGCTCCCCCAGCCGCCCTTCCAGATCCAGCCTCCATCTTTGATGGTAAGAGGCTTGAAAAGTCTGTTTATTTATAGCTATACAAGTGCTAAGACTTTCCCAGCTCTATTCGCTAGGAAAGGACCTGCTCGTGAACACCCAGCGAAGTTCTCAAGTTTGGCAATTGCCATAGCGACGATTATCATACATGATATCTTCCGCACGGATGATGTGGACCCTAGCAAGCATGCTTCCTCGGCCTATTTGGACCTCGGCCCTCTTTACGGCCACAATGCTGAGCAACAAAAGACCATCCGTACGTTTCAGGATGGCAAGATCAAGCCAGATGCGTTCGCAGAACCTCGACTTTTGGGACAGCCGCCAGGGGTTTGTGCGCTCATCGTGTCCTTCAATCGATTCCACAACTATGTGGTCCAGCAACTGGCGTTGATAAATGAAGCTGGGAGATTTAGTATTTCGGTGACCGTTGATCCCCAGGATAAAGCCGCGTATGAGAAGGCCTTGGCAAAACGCGATAACGATCTTTTCCAAACCGGAAGGCTGTAGGTTCTCATTCTCTTTGGAGCTATTTTCCTAAACGAACAGTGCTGATACCGATTTTTATAGTGTTACTTGTGGACTCTACGTCAATATAATCCTCCATGATTACGTGAGAGTCATTCTCAATCTTAACAGGTTGGTTGATAAGGCGAGGCACCGTGGCTGGCAGAAACTGCACTGACTTTCGATTTTTCCAACAGATCAAATACTCAGTGGAACCTTGATCCTCGTGTCGACTCGGTCAATATTTTTGACCCTGCAGGCACGCCGAAGGGCATTGGCAATCAGGTCAGCATGGAGTTTAACCTGATATATCGATGGCATGCTACCGTCAGCGATAAAAACGCGAAATGGCTTGAAGGATTCTTCGATAAGGTGTTCCCAGGCATCGACCCGGAGACGATTACGCAGGCGGAGTTCATGAATCGCTTAAAAGCTTGGGGCCATAGTATTGATTCCGACCCAGGTAAATGGACATTCGGTGGGTTGAAGCGTACAGCTACTGGGGGTTTTGATGATAGCAGTCTTGTCAAACTATTGACGGAGGAGACCGAGGATGTCGCCGGCGCATTCGGCGCCCGAAATGTAAGTTAACCGCCGTGGATCAACTAGATATTCTCTTAACTGATTTATTTTCCAGATTCCTGTCATTCTGAAGGCCGTCGACGTGCTTGGTATTAACCAAGGCCGCGCCTGGGGAGCAGCAAGCCTGAATGAAGTACGCAAGTTTTTCAAGCTCAAGCCCCACGAAACGTTCTTGGAGATCAACCCGGACCCCGATGTGGCCGCCTCATTGGAAGCACTTTATTCGCATCCGGACAATGTTGAGCTGTATCCTGGGGTTTCAGTAGAGGACACCAAGCCTCCGCTGGTACCGGGATCTGGGCTTTGCAGCGGCTTGACCATTGCCAAGGCCATCCTTTCGGATGCTGTTGCCTTGGTTCGGGGAGACAGGCGAGTTCAACATGCCTAAAGGTCATGGCAATCCCTAATTGTGTCACAGATTCTATTCGGTAGACAACAGTCCGGCGAATCTCACCGCATTTGGATCGGCCCTGATTGCTTCTGATCTCGATGTCGGTGGCGGGACGGTCATTTACAAACTTTTCATGAATGCGTTCCCAGGATGGTACCGCGGTGATTCTGTGTATACTCTGTTCCCATTAACTATCCCCAGTGAAAACCTGAAGATCGCGGAGGACCTGGGTAGGAAGAGTGACTATACCTACGATCCGCCCAGCTTTGCGCCTCAACCAATACCCGTGACGACTTGGCAAGGCGTAGTTAATATCCTCAATGATCAGGTGAAATATAAGGTCCCTTGTATGTTTGGGAACTCCTGTGACTGTCTTTATAATCGCTAACCAGACAAAGGGGGACCCCACGTTTACGAACTAATCCATCACGATTGGGTAGGACAACCCCGGTGCGATATTTCCACCCATGAACTAATTTGATTCCTCTCCAGATGCTCAGCAGAGACGAACCATGGAATGCGGAGCAGAAGGGCTATTGCCAGCATGCCCTTTACGGACCATCCAAAGGGCTCGACCAGATTCGTGACTATTACAGAATTGTGACAGAAAAGCTTATCCGGGAAAAGAGCAACAAGTTACGCGATGTCTACCAGCTCGATGCTGTCCGTGATGTTGGAAATCTGTCGCACTCTATCGTTGTCGCACGGATTTTCAATATCCCAATTAAAGAAAATGGCGGTGCGGGCACCGTGACGGCCAGGCAACTTTATGACGCGATGGCGGCGGTCTTTGCATATACCTTCCTTGATATTGATCCGACAAAAACTCAACAACTCAGGGTTGTTGCCAAAACAGCAACCACAATTTTACAAAAGCTCATCACGCCAGCAGTTCAGGCTGTGAAAGCCGAACGGTTCCACACGTTGAAAGACATAATCGGTATCAACGCGGATGAATCGACGCTGCCCGACTATGGCACGCACTTGGTCCAACGGTTGTTCGAGGGCGGCAAGAGCCTCGACGAGGTGATCTGGACGATTGTTCCAACGGCGTCTGCCGCAAGCCCAATTCAAGGCCAAGCGGTAAGTCTGTTTTTATCCAGTCTTTCGGTTCGAATGACAAATGTTCTATTCATTTGCACAGCTCACAGACTTCTGACGGATAAATCAAAACAGTTCGCGCGCCTCCTGGACTTTTATCTGTCTGAGAACAAAGACCATTGGGCAGAGATTCAAAAGATTGCCCACGAGGATACCCCAGAGGCGTTCGAGAAGCTGCGTAAGTACGCACTAGAAGGCTTGCGCCTAGCCACACCCGCATTCAGGGTCCTTCGAGCCGTGAACATCGAGAACGGCACTGTCGTCGATGGGGAGAGGCAAATTCCAGTGAAAAGAGGCGATACTATTTTTGCCGACTTGGTCAAGGCCAATGTAGACGCAAAAGCCTTCCCAGACCCGCTGGAGATTAAACTTGACCGCCCCGATAGCTCCTACATTCACCAAGGATATGGTGAACACATGTGTCTCGGTCGACCTATCGTCATGGTTTCTATGGCGGTGCAATTGGGTGCCTTTGCCAGACTGAAGAACCTACGTCGCGCTCCGGGGCCCGCTGGACAACTGAAGGCTACAACTGTCGATGGGTCTTTCCAGGTATATATGAATGAGGACTGGTCGGAGTGGACGCCCTTCCCCGCCAATATGAAGGTTCAGTTCGACGGATTTTAAGGGGGCCGTTGGCTCATGCGACGATATTTATTGTCGGAAATGAAGAGATGGGTTGATTAAGCGAAAGCCCATTGAAAAGCACGATTTCTTATGTAACCATACTGCCATGCAAATTGCCTGTGTTTAACTATCTTTACAATTCAGACTTGTTTCCATCCAATTGGCTACCGTAGGGTACCCGAAATACGGTAGTCCTCGATTTCCAACATTATGTCAGAACGAGCTAAAAAGGGTGTAGACTAGTATGCATTCAGGACGATTAAGACCAAGAGGAACTAATTCGGGATGAAAAGATTGATTGATTGAAGAGAACCACACTCCCTTGTTCAATATATCGCTGTCGGGATGATAAGCAGGAGTATCCGCCACTAAACACTGGAACTGCTATAATTATCCGATTCTTATGGGTCTTGTTAATTCAAGATCCGCGCAAGGAACCCCTCCCAACATCATTATTACAACGAAAAAAGCATAACAAGAACACTGTATAGTCCACAGACAGATGCGCAGAAACCTTAAGGGATGGAGATGGCACTAAGTGCAAGCAAAGAAACAATACATGCATGTTTATCAACGTTAAATATAAAACTTTTATACTAACTCTTATATTATAATAGCTATTTATTCTATTTTTACTGATCGATATATAATATTATCAAGGAAAGCCGTACTATTACTAGTCCTCATGTTAATTCTACTAAGAAAATCCTTATTTTGGCGATAAAAGATATTATTTTAGCTTTAATAATCCTAATCTCTATTCTTTCTAGAATAAATAATAATAATAATTTGGGAATCAGAAGTGGCAAAACACCGAAGCATATAGCCGAAGAAGCCGAGTTACCCCACAACCTTGCTTCTGTGTAGGACAAAAAAGCACGACCCTCGCTCATCTGGCTTCTTAGGAATTTGCCTATCGAAACAGCCGATTACTCTATTACCTGCATACAGAATATGGAACCCGGAAGTCCCGATCGGCCGCGGACGCGTGCAAAGAAGGCGTGTCTGGCATGTAACTCCCGTCGGGTGCGGTGCAACGTGCTTGACATGCAGCCCTGCCAAAATTGCGTCTCATGGAACCTCTCCTGTGAAATTGGGGAATCACGACGTGGAAAGTATGTATCAAAACATTTACTTGGGCGTCTGTGCTTATTTCGTTTGGCAGATATCCCCGCCGTAAGAAAAAGGGATCGGCTCGATTATCGGCTACCTCGACCAACAGCGCAGCGAATGATTCCGATACCCAAGAGGCTCAGAGGTCATTGCCATTGACCCAGTACTCAAAGTACCCACCTTCCCGCCCAGCCACGACAGATGATGCCATTCATAAAACCGTCTTTCTCGGCGAATCCAGTCCTCTCACTTGCGTTGTGGATGAAGGTCGTCGATCCCCTGCCAATGGCTATGCGCGTACTGCTCAAAAAGGAAGACTCCATTACTCTATTCCTGAGATCAATGGTGAGACAGAAAGTAGCGCCGATTCGCTAGGCCTTCGCCGTAAGCTACTGCATGATCGCCTTACCCGCGAAGGGGCCTTGATATTCCCGGCACCAGCTATATGTGACACACTTATTCAGGCTTACTTTGATTGGATGCATCCGTGTTTCCCAATCTTAGATCGTGCAACCCTACAAAGTGGTTACCAAGATGGTACATTGTCACCTTTGTTACTACAGTCGATGCTGTTCATTGGAGTGAGCCTATGCTCGGATATAGCCTTAGAATCTACTGGATTCCGTGATAGGTACCGAGCGAAAGGTGAGTTCTATGAGCGGGCAAAAGACATTTATGATTCGGGATGGGAAACCGATACAGTTATCCGGTTGCAATCGCTATTTCTGTTGAGCTTTTGGCGTGGAACCCCAACCGAAGAGCGAGATGTCCGATTCTGGCTCGGCGCTGCAATTGGTCTGGCTCAGACGAAGGGAATGCATGTCATGTACGCCACGAATCGGAAATTCCGACTGAAAGTGGATATGAGCTGACATTTTCAGGTCTAAATTGTCCTTCTTAAATTCCAAGGATCAAAAAGTGTGGAAAAGAATTTGGTGGGCTCTATATGTACGACTTTATTTTCTAACTTTTGATCGTCAGTAGTTGAAACTGACTGAATTACAGGTTCGGGATCAACAAACATCGGCGGCATTAGGATTACCGCCCCGAATACGTGATGAAGACTGCCAAATAGCCGACCTTGAAGCCTCAGACTTTGAGGATAGTGAGCCCATCGGCCCATCTGAAATATTTCGAGCACCACCGGAAGTTCACATTCCGTATGTGATGGGAATGGCTCAGCTGGCAAGGTTATGTACGATGCTCTAGCCCCTTCAATATCACACAAACACTGATACCAGATAACCAGTACGAGAAATCGTCTCCAGTCAGTATCTACCTGGTCATTCCAAGTTGGATAACCCAGCCAGACCAATGCTTCATCGATGCTTGACTGAATGGGAGTCCAACCTGCCAAAGGAATTGCAGTTTCAAATACCCATGACCAGGGAAGCCATGTTTCTTATTGGCATGCTCCATATGGCTTATAAGTATGACTTTTGTGGACCATTTTCTTAAATATGTCTTACTAACGCGGATCAAGCAATTTGTATATTCTTCTATACAGACCGATCTTCTTACAGCCCCCAGGGCAATCAACGAGCTCAGAGGGGAACATGGCATTAGATGCCGCAACAAGAAGCACACGCGTTCTTGAGGACATGCTGTCACAGAACCTAGTCCAACATGGGTCCCTTCACTTGTGAGTCTTTTTCTGGTGTTGGTATTAATCTTTCTAATGACACATGGACTAACGCGACCAGAATCACTCACACATTTTCGGCTTTGTGCATTCATACCATTCACTTTGGGCGAGTTACAGGCACAGCCCGCAAGCTGGCAGAGCATAGAGCTAAGCTTTGTCTTCTGGGACTGAAGGAACTACAGAAGTCCTGGGATTTGGAGAACTGGGTTCTAGATCTATTCTTCCGCTCCTTGGATGATCGTACAGCTCGCGATCTTCGACTGGCCGATGTTACAGTGCCACCGTCCACGTCGCAGGTCGACGGTACCCAAACGCCCGCGGAAACCTCGCTTGCTACACCTAATAGTGGCCCATACGGGCCGCTTTCTCCTAATCCCCCAGAACGCCTGTTGTCGACTACACACCCAGTTCCCCCTCAAGATCCAGTAGAAGATGTCGCGATAAATATGGATTGGTATGAACTTTTGAACATGGAGGGTGATGATGTGATGGGGATGGCGGGCTCCTTATCAAACCCGGATTACTTGAACCCACAAAACCTAGAGTTCCTCTACCGGTTTCTATAGCAAGACTCTATATATTGCTGTTTTCAACTTGATACCCAATGCATATGATACAAAGTCTATAGACGTCTAGGTTGTGACATATTGTGTATCCGGCATTCTGTTTGTATATGGGGCTAAGCCAGACCCAATTCCGCGAGTATGGCCTCGTTGTGTTCTCCAACCTTTGGAATGGGGCCCATCTTAGCGCTATACCCACCCCTATCAGCTGATTTGGTGGATCCAGGAGGCAAAAGAGCTGGGACAACACCAGCCGGAGTCTGCACTTGGGTCCATCGATCGCGGGCCTTTAGTTGGGCATGCTCCCAGACATTCTGCATATCATTGACATTGGCATTGGCGATTGATGCTTCCTCCAAACGGGTAATAGTTTCTTCTGCCGTGAATTTTGAGAATACGTCATGAATGGTGTCTTTGAGGGCATCCCGATTTTGAGCCCGCAGGGAGTTGCTCGAGAAACGCGAGTCGGTGGCCAGGTCGGGTTGTGAGAGAACTTTCGTGCAGAAGTTTTGCCACTCGCGTTCATTTTGAATGCCAAGCATGACTGACTGTCCATCTCCAGTTTCAAAAGGACCGTAGGGGTAAATTGCGGCATGTGAAGCTCCTGCTGGTACCGGACCGGGGGCACCCTCAAAGGCGTAGTACATCGGGAAACCCATCCACTCTACCATGCTCTCGAGCATAGAGATATCAATCTGGCAGCCCAAACCATCCTTCCCACGCTGTAACAGTGCTGAGAGAATATTGCTATAGGCGTACATTCCCGCTGCAATATCCGCAATGCTGATTCCAACCTTTGCGGGCTCCTTCCCGGTTCCAGTCACTGACAGCATGCCTGCCTCGCTCTGTATGAGAAGGTCATACGCTTTCTTTTTCATGTAAGGACCATTTTGCCCGTATCCACTAATATCACAAACGATAAGACCGGGGTGGTTCCTCTTCAAATTCTCATGAGAGAGTCCCAATCGGGCACTGGCACCTGGGGCCAGGTTCTGGACGAGCACGTCGGCCTTGCCGAGGAGTTTCATGAGAACTGCATGGTCCTTTTCATCCTTAAGGTCTAATGCTAAACTCTCTTTGCTGCGATTTGTCCACACAAAATGCGATGCTAGCCCTGAGACCCGTGTATCATACTGCCTGGCAAAATCTCCGACACCAGGTCGTTCAATTTTGATGACTCGGGCTCCGAGATCGGCAAGTTGTCGTGTGCAAAATGGTGCCGCGATGGCTTGCTCAAGACTGACTACCGTCACACCAGCAAGAGGAAGAGGACGATGACCTTCTGAGCCACTAGAGTACAGACGCGAAGTAATGTATGAAGATCCCGCAGGCTGGATTGCATTGAGCAGGCCCAAGGGCCGGCAAGCAAGGGGGAGAGGCGATCTCATGACCGAATCAGAATTGGCAGAAATAATATGCCCAAATGAGTCAAAGGGGCCAGATATCTATTATATCACCTTGCGAGGTGCATCTCCCGATGTTCCGACGCGGGGGGAAGGGTTCGGTTCATCAAGTGCCGAAGCCCGATGAGTCGGCTATATGGTTGCAGGCCGAGGAGCTTGTCAGCAGACACCTACAGCAAAGTGTGTTATACAAAGCGGACGAACATACTTTGCACAAATCTCGCAATATGGGAGCTCTATGGATAACATATGGAGAGGAAGAGAGTGGAAGCAGCCAGCCTACGACACGTGCTACACCAGTATCCCTGGTTTTTCGTACGTTTTAACATCATTCTCTCGATTTCCGAGGGAGGAAGGCTATCTCATAAACTAAACCCCTGCAGCAGAATGAGTTTGCTTGATTGCCTGGTTTCATGAAGGACAGGCCTCGGAGAGCCCCTTTCTCATCGTGGCTCTTGGCCATCTCGAGCCGGGTCGATATCATTCGAAAACGACATATTGTGCGATCCTGCTGCATGTCTGCTTCGTTGTCCAGGTAAAGCAAATACAATCTAGGCTCTGAAATGCAGGTTTGCTCGATGTGAATATGTTCATGATACCACGCAAACAACGCCACATATAACCCATTTGTATGCGCAAGCTATTTCAGTCTCAATCTCGACCACCGTTACACTACAGTATTCCACCTTTGGAACGGAAACTCCGAGTTCACGCGGATCCTTCAACCCGCTGGGTAAGACCATTTTGGATGGCACCCACTCCATTGAAGCAAGACATCCAGCCGGGCGGAACTCGGCGATCCTTATTGCCTTGGAAGATGCTTAAAATGATCCGATTACATCAAGCAATAATTTAATTGTTAACGCCAAGCGACCCCGCAGAGCGCCCAGGCGGGAAAAATGGCGCGTCAACGGTTGAGCCGCGGGGCCTCGTATTCTCGGCATGTGTCCTCCTTTGTGCCTCGTGTCCACCCAGTGCCAGTTGCATATTGGTTCCAGGAGCAGTGATGGTCGGCGTACCACGCAGCAGAGGCTGTTTGGCGTGTCTCCAGCGGCGGGTCAAAGTATGATAGCCTCCAGCTTGTTATCCCTTGCCGCAAACTAATTCCCGAAAATCGCAGTGTGATGAAACCCAGCCAGAATGCCAGTGTTGCCAAAGAAGGGGACTATCATGTCCCGGTTATATAAGAGAGCGGAAATTTCACCACCGATTCGGCGTATCGAGCGAGTCGAAGCCATCGGAACCTACATCGCAAACACTTTCCCTGGCAACAGCCTCGACCAATCATCCCGCGACCACTCATCCGGATGAGCTACCACGCCGCATTTCCATCGCGCAGGGATCGATGGATGAAGCTATAGTCCCAAACTTGGTTGCTGGGGTTTTGGACCAGCGACAACGAGAGGGATTCTGTGCGTTTGTCGATGATGTGTTCCCGGGCATCTTTTACGGGTACAGCAACCGTGTGGAAGTGAACTGGTTTGACGTGGCTCGAAACCAACGAGAAACCGGGAGACCGCTTGACTGGGCCTTGCGCAGTATTGGAACTTGGCAGCTGGGCAAAGAACACAATGATCCACGACAAATGCTCGCCAGTCGAGAAATGTATGGACGTGCGTTGCAGCATCTGATCCATGCAATTAAAACTCCTTCCTTGGTCTGCACAGATGCAACTCTTGGGGCCGCAATTCTTGTTAGCATATATGAAATGATCAATGCGACAGAACAGAAGTCATGGTTGACGCATTCACGAGGCATTTCCCATCTCTTTCGTCTTCGAGGGCCAAGAGCCCATACATGTGGACTCGGTCGCACCTTGCTATTATCCTTTCGAGGATTTTTAGTATTTGAAGCATTGGCTCGCAGTGAACCGTGCTTCCTTGAAAGTGAAGAATGGAGATGTATCCTTCCAGAAACCCTGGAAAACGAAGAACGACGAGGCAAATCCTCTCCTTTAGGCATACTGATCGAGTATGCGTTCAATGAAATAGCTCAATGCCCCGGCTTTCTTGTCAAATGCAAAGTGCTTGTCGCGTCCCCGCAGGCTACGTCGACGGAAAGGGAGTGTCTCATTTGTGAGATTGCGAAATGCCAAAATACCCTGCGTGGTCTAGAATCACAAATGCTAGCTGGCATCAAGGTAAATCAAGCATCGAGTGAAGAATCCTGTCGGCCATTCTTCGGCGCAGTTCCTGGTTCCATGGCAGATAAACTGGCAAATTTCTCCCACAAAGGAATCCAGTCAGCCATCGCACTGCTCCAGCAGCTTCTGGTGGTACTGGTATCCGATCGAACTCGGCAAAAAGAAGCGACGCCATGGTTAACACTTGGAACAACCAAGAGTGAATGGGAGACAGACATTAACCCCAATGAGATGGCCACACTGGCCCAAAAAAAGGCCATACTGCACCGGACAGGTCGACAGCTCCCGGGAAGCCCCGAGGCTTCGCCTGACTGTATCGCAATGTCAATGGGCTTGACCAAATAAGACCCAGAATCCTCTCTCCGTTGCACAGAGTAGAGCCAATGTGTACAGCATCGGACAGGCAAATTCTCTGTCTCGAATGGACGCTGTATATCAGAACAAAGTTACGATATACGTACTCATTGATTTATTATTAACAAATGAGAAAAAGAGCAAGCATATCCATCCAATCAACCAGCTCCAAACTGTCTATATATATATCTACAGCAGCTCGTTTATATCAAGTTTAAATCTTATCCTTTTCTTTCAATTGAAGCAAATTGGACTGCTTTTCATTTCTCCTTCACTTGAAAAAGATTGTATGTAATCCGTATTACTATAACTAACTTAGTTGTCCAGCATACTCCGTACGTCATAAATGTTTGGCTCATTGGCCCACCGCCCCCACCTTGCCAAGTCGCTCCCCCTTCATCCAGTCTCATCCCTAACCCTCTTCAAACCATTAAGAGCCAGGTGCCTGGTGCCCATACCCCTAAACCACCGTTACAGCTTGCATTACCACGCTTAGAGGATTATGCATTCTGTTTACTGACATCAAACAGCTCCTTCCGCCAGCATCGCGAAATCCGTCCAACATCGAAAGAATAACACGGATATGGCCACGCGGCCACGGAGCTATTCACAGAGGTCCCGACCGACATGTCCTTGATCCAAATGGCCCTCTGAGACCCAGGTGGGATTAGCCTGCTCGGCGAAGTACGCTGCGAAGGCAGCGGCAAAGAACCATAGTCTCACTACTCAAGAAGCCCGGCTCGATATTTTCAGGGAATACAGTATCATACAAGGGGCCACGAGAAGTACCAACATTCGAAGGAGACAAAGGCGACCGCCACGCGATGGTGCCTAGCGGCAGGCTACGCTATGATTCCCACAAATTCGGGCGTTTCAATGGATGCAATGTGGTATAATATACATCAAATAGAATAACGCAGTTGTCGGCCACGCTACCGTTTCCACCGCATCATAAACCTTTTCAACCGATCATATCTTGTCACTCTGCACAGGCGGCGGGACTTGGAAGATGACCAACGCCAATTCTTCTTCGGAAGCATGCCAAAGTTATCCGAACATTGATTCAGGGCCTGTGGGAAGCAATGAGCCACTCAAAGGCCGAA